CTGGTTTAGTCCTGGTTTAGTCCTGGTTTAGTCCTGGTTTAGTCCTGGTTTAGTCCTGGTTTAGTCCTGGTTTAGTCCTGGTTTAGTCCTGGTTTAGTCCTGGTTTAGTCCTGGTTTTACAGGTGTGTGTGACTCAGCAGGATTTATGACTCTGGAAAATGATGTCATCAAATCAGGACAGATGTGCACCAGGTGTTTCCTGGTTTGTTTCTCAGGTGTGTGTCAGGTGCAGGTGTGTGTCAGGTGCGGGTGTGTGTCAGGTGCAGGTGTGTGTCAGGTGCAGGTGTGTGTCAGGTGCAGGTGTGTGTCAGGTGCAGGTGTGTGTCAGGTGCAGGTGTGTGTCAGGTGCGGGTGTGTCAGTCAGGTGCAGGTGTGTGTCAGGTGCAGGTGTGTGTATGAGTTTCAGATCTCTGTGATTACAGGAAGTCTCCACATGAAACAAAAACTGACACAAAAGTTCAGACTCTTCTTTGTCAGAACTAAACCAGAACTAAACCAGGACTAAACCAGGTCTGAAGTGGGACTAAACCAGGACTAAACTTGGACTAGACCAGGCCTGAATCAGGACAGGATCTTGTGGGTTTGTCCTCCTCCCTCTCACCAGGAGCTTGTGGGTTTGACCTTTGTTCCTCTGCAGATTCTTGAGTCGTGACGCAGCAGATTCTTCAGTTCTGCCGCGGTTCTTATGTAACGTCCAAAACATTCCTGAGGATCTTCAGTTTCAGACGCAGAGCGGAGCAGCTCTGAAGCGGGACCACAGTGTGTGTGTGTGTGTGTGTGTGTGTGTGTGTCTTGGCCAAAATGTAAAATTTAAAAACTGAAATCTGTCAGAAAATGAGTTTAAAGTGTTGAGATGTTGTGTCCAGGCAGAAGATCTTTTTACTGAACAAGTTCTCCTCAAATAATCGACTCTGGACGAGACTGAAGCGTTTGTGCTCAGAGTTCAGGAGCTGGACAATAAGTTTATGAAGCTCAGTTGGAGATAAACAAACTTTTATGGACTTTTACAAATGTTTTTGACCTGATAATAAATTCAAAGATGTTAAATTGTAGAGAGAAAATCTTGAAATTGTTCGTCGTCGTCTTGTGTCACTGAATCTAAAAACAAGTGAAGAGTTGCAGGAGAAACTGGATTGTCGCTTCTTCTTTTAACATTTATTGTATAAATTTAAGATTTTCTGACGGAGTTGAGTCATGGAAGAAAAATATGTGACACTTTTTAACATTATACCCACCGATTCAGAACGAGTAAGTGGATCATAAATCTGAAAACAAGATGAAAAAACCTGATTTAAGTCTTAAAATCTTGGCCAGACCAGAGAAATCCCTGGTCCTGGTCTAGGCCCGGTCTCTCTCTGGTCTCTGGTCTAAACCCGGTCTCTCTCTGGTCTCTGGTCTAAACCCGGTCTCTCTCTGGTCCTGGTCTAAACCCGGTCTCTCTCTCTGGTCCTGGTCTAAACCCGGTCTCTCTCTGGTCCTGGTCTAGGTCTCGGTCTCGGCTCTCTCTCTCTGGTCTCGAGTACTTGGAGCAGGTCTGCAGACTCGTGGAGAAGATCAGTGGACTTCAAAACCTGGTGCTCCATCTGCAGAGACAACTGAGGACCAGAACCCGGACGGACCCCGGACCGGACCGGACCGGCCCTGGACCCTGGACCGGACCCGGACCGGACCCCAGACTGGGAGCAGCTGGTGAGTCTGGTTAAATATGACCAGGCCTTTAGTCCACACACGTTCACTCGGGTTTGGTGAAGGATCTACATGAGCTTGTCTCTGGTTTGGTTCCTGTCACAGACTGAAGCAGCTGCTCCTCAGAGGAACCACAGGCTCCTGTCCCTGAGCTGTGGAGCCAAAACTGAGACTGAAATCTGCACATTTAAAAAGATCTGACTCATTCAGGGGTTCGGTCAAGTGGTAACGGAGGGAATGAAATATGCAGCACTTTTTTGGTCAGTAAATCCAAACAGTGATAACTCTTGGTTCTCACTTACATAATCCTTAACAAACTGGTTTGAATATTTGCTTCATATAGTTTTCTACCATATGGTACAAGATTAGGTTGAAAAACCTCTGACTTTTTGACTCATGAGATTTTTTATTAAGAAAGTTCATGGTAACGGAGGGAAAAGTAACGGAGGGAAAATTGTACAAACAAGTAGAAGGTGCAGGATTTTACATCATTTGTGGCTTTTTTCTTCTGAAAACTTTAATATTACTTCAAAATGAAAGAAACTATTTCTATAAAATATGTCAGTCCTTCCAAGAACATTTTTATCATTTTAAATACTTTTTTTAAAAAAATCCTGTCCCTTCATCAACAGTTCAAAGATGGAATAACACAAGATATGATGAAATACAAACATTTATTTACATGATTTTTGGGTCTTTGAAATTTGGGAAATAATTTTTGTTCCATGTTTCATTCATGGTCTGTTTAAAACAGATGGAACTTTACAACCAAAAATGGAACAGAAAAAAGGTCAACAGTTTGATAAACTAGAGACATATGTATCTGTTCAATACATTTTTATATCAGATGCATCGGTAACACTTTATAATAACTACACATTATTTAGCCTTAATAAAGCATGAACAAAGGCTTAATTAATAATGATTCTTAGTAACTACTTAATTACTGCCTGAATTAGCACTTGCACTTAATTTGCCTGTGCTGTAAATATTTACTCATAATTATTTCATACTTAATTACTCATGAACGAACCATTTGAGCATTTATTAATCATTAATAAACTATGAGAGAATGATTTACTAATAATGTAATACAATGATCATTCAGGCAGCTGTTCTCTGTCAGTTAAGTCTTTCTGAGCTTTTCTAAAGTGAAGACAAATTATCCTTTATTAAACATTTACTAAGTGTGAATCATTATTAATTAAGTCTTTGTTCATGCTTTATTAAGGCTAAATAATGTGTAGTTATTATGAAGTGTCACTGATGCATTAACTTGAATTTTTGGCCTTGTTGTTTACTTCTGTTGGACGTCGCCTCAGACAATTTGTACTTTTTTTTTACTGAAGATGTTTTGATTTGGTTCTTTCAGGATCTGAGCCTCAAGTCAAACCACGTCTCAAACCACGTCTCTGCTCCTCTTTCAGGTTCTCCTCATGAAGCTCTGCACCTGTGGAGCCGCAGACCAGGTCTTCCTCAGAACCCAGACCCAGAACCGGACCGGGTCTCTGGACCAGGATCTCAACCAGGATCTGAGTCGGGACCTCAGGAGCGTCTCAGGGTCGTCTCACCGGATCTACAGGACCAGAGGTGAGGAGGGGAGTCGGGTCATGTGCAGGCGTCGTTGGATTTTTTTTATTTTTCATGTTTTGGTGATGAGAAAAACATGTGAGCGAAGCCCCGCCCCCTCTGCTCTGTTTGGGAAGAAAATGTTTTTTGGAGCCGGAACGAGAAGAGACGGAGAGAAGAGAGGGAGAGAAGAGAGGGAGAGAAGAGACGGAGAGAAGAGAGGGAGAGAAGAGAGGGAGAGAAGAGAGGGAGAGAAGAGAGGGAGAGAAGAGAGGGAGAGAAGAGAGGAAACGCCGAGGGAAAGATAAACCCGAGAGGAGAGAGGGAGGGAGAAGTGAAAAACAGAGGGAAAGATAAAGTCCAGCTGTGAGCGGAGGGAGGACGAGGAGCGAGGGAACGTCCTGATAAACGACAGGAAACAGAGACTGGAAAACAGGTTAGAGGAAAAGAGAGAGAGAGAGAGGAGTGAGGGAACATCCTGATAAACGACAGAAAACAGAAGCTGGAAAAACGGTCAGAGGAAAAAGAGAGAAACACAAAAAAAACAAAAAAACTTTGATGAAACAAAAAAAAAAAAAAGACAATTTCTGAAGTTTCTAAAAGTGTTTTTGTGTTTAGGGAGCGAGAGCGAGAGAGAGAGAGAGAGGAAGAACACACACACCTGCACCGACTACAACCTGCACAGACAGGTGAGACCCTGCACAGACAGGTGACAGACAAGGTGAGACCCTGCACACTTTTTGTGGGCGGAGTCTCGTCCTCTGAGCCTCTGGTCTGTTGAGTCTGATCTCACTTCTTCTTCCAGCTGAGCGACAGGAGCGACAGGAGCGACAGGAGCAACAAGAGCGACAGGAGAAACAGGAGCGACAGGTGCAGCTCGTCCTGGGGCAGAGTCCAGGACTTAGTGACAAGAAACCGGTTCAGATCCCGGTCCAGACTCAGACCTGGGTCCTTCAAGAGCTCCTGTCCTCAACTCCACAGGTGAAACTACAGACCACAGACCACAGACCACAGACCCACAGACCACAGACCCACAGACCCACAGACCACACAGACCCACAGACCACAGACCCACAGACCCACAGACCCACAGACCACAGACCACACAGACCCACAGACCACAGACCCACAGACCCACAGACCCACAGACCCACAGACCACAGACCCCCACAGACACCCACAGACCACAGACCCAGACTCACTGACCCTGTCTCTGTCTGCAGACTGGACCAGGGACCGGACCAGGCCCAGACCCGGAGCTCCATGATCCTCCTGGACCAGAGTCTGGACTCTGGGGTCCAGTGGTCCTGAAGTGTTTGTGTAGAACCTTCATCAGCCAGAACCTGCAGCTCAGACCAGAGTCTGGACCAGACCAGGACTAAGTCTGAGACTGGGTCCTGGTTTAAACTCGTCTGGACTCTGGTTTAGTCCTGGTTAAAACCTGGTTCAGATCAGATCTGGTCCATAAAGGAAAGACTCAGAGAAAACAGAAGCACTTTTTTTAATATAACGTGACATAAACGTCGTTCTTGTGTTCTTGTTGTTCTTGTTGTTGTTCTTGTTGTTCTTGTTTGTTCTTGTTGTTCTTGTTGTTCTTGTTTGTTCTTGTTGTTCTTGTTTGTTCTTGTTTGTTCTTGTTTGTTCTTGTTTTTCTGTTTTTCTTGTTTGTTCTTGTTTGTTCTTGTTTGTTCTTGTTGTTCTTGTTGTTCTTGTTTGTTCTTGTTGTTCTTGTTGTTCTTGTTGTTCTTGTTCTTGTTGTTCTTGTTGTTCTTGTTTGTTCTTGTCGTGTCTGTGACTGGAGCGTTTAGTTCCATTTTAAATGTTTCACTATTTATACTTTTTAAATTGTATTTATTCCCTCTGCTCCTCTAACTGTGTTAAAGTTGTTTTTTGTAAATGTGATTTTTGAGACTTTTATTTTGTAAAACAAACTGAAAAAAGTTTTGTAAATTTCTCCGTTAAAACATCAAAACATGATTTTATTTGTATTTTTTATATTTAACACTCTTGTTTTATATTAAATTATTGTTGTTTTGTATCAAATATATTTTGGAAATAAAAAAGTTTACAGAGTGAAGTGAACGTGACGTGACTGTGGTGCTGGCGCCCTCTGCTGGACGCTCAGTGGAAGTGTGAGCTCTGACACATTTAGTGGGACCAGTGTTTATTTGTGTTTATTTGTGTTTCTTTTATTTATTGTATATTTTGTGAGTATATGTGTGTTTGTCAAGAGCTTTGAAGAAACTCCTCAAACTCCCTGATCTTCTCTTCATGATCTGCTGGATGAAGGGTTTTGTCTCATGACTTTGGTGGAACCTCTGAACCTCTGAACCTTCATTTTCCATCAGATCGTGAAGCATCAGTTTCTTCTGTTCTTCTGTCACACTGGAGTGAAGAACATCAGGACAAACATTTCTTCACTCCAGGACCAAAGACGTCGCCCAAAACTGTTCAGGTGTTTTCTTCACGACTGAACGTTCAGACTGTGAAGCTTCTGAAGGAAAAACAATCATCTACAGGAGCTTCACAACTTCAGCACAAACTTCATGCAGCTTGAGCTGATCTGAAACATTTCCTTTTTCTCCACTTTTCATCCTAAATCATCTTTTGGACGATAAAACCTAAAGCAGCATGAAGTTTATTTCAGGATCAATATTTACATCAAATATGAAACAGAACAAAACATTTAGATTAAATCCCAAATGTTCTTTAAACAGATTTGAGCTTTTTTTTACATCAGTTCACACGTGACATTCGAGTGTTCAGTGTGTAACGTTCTAGAGGAGTCAGGTCTGTGGAGAGGAGAGCTCGATCACAGTAAAAAACACACAAACATCAGTGCAATAAAAACAACACAAAAGTCTCACATACAACAGAGTTTAATACACAAGTGTGTGGAAAAAATGACAAACTTTATGGAATAGAAAAAAACTAATTGGACAAAATATATAAAATAAAATTATAACATTGGGAAAAAGGAAGAATAAATGCGTAAACAATTAGGAAAAAATGATAAAAAAAAATAAAAAGAAATGTTATTTATGTATGTGTATTTATGTATTTATGTTTATTTTTGTTTTAATGAGACAGGGACAGCGCACATTTTTACATGAACCTTAACAGGAGAGAAGAAAAAAAACAACT